CTTTCCCCTGATGTTAATATGATGTCCTTTTCTATTCACTACACCAATGGTCCACACTATGTTCTATGACATCTCACAACCTGTTGTCCATACTATATTCTCTGACAACCAAGATATTTTTTCTAACAGCTCTCCCCCACCCCCCATCCTTACTATACCCTCCTCAATCCTGCACGTACTGCCTACTGTCATACTCTTTTCTCCCTCTGCACGTACTGGCAACTATAAAAGCCATGCACATACAGTACAACTCAATAACACAGTCATCTCTATGTTAAGTGAAATACAGTTGGGGACAGTTTGCGAAGTGGTACTTCTGAATCCCGGGCTGCAGTTGTAAAAGGAAATAAAATCTCGGGGAGCACAAAAAAAGAGATAAACACATGATGCAAAATAAGGATCATCCACTTCACTTATAAGACCACATCTTGAAAATGAAGAACAGTTTTAGCATTATCCTGTAGGAAGGACAGTTGACATTTATAGAAGTTATAAAGACAGGTAATCTAAAGTAGAAATAGTAGGAAAACTTTTTTTTTCATTTTGGATAGAGTAAGGAGGGGTTATAACATCTGTCGGACTTTTTTCACCATCTGTGTCCCATTGCGGAAAATTTCCCATCACTTCCTCTCCTATAGCCAAACAGTAAGTAAGAGGAAATCCCTGCAAATTAAGGGAATCTTTTGGGCCCCCCAGGTCACCAGAACTAATATCCCTATTGGAAGATTTCCCCCTCTATTACTTTTCTGGGGACAACCCAAATTTTGGGATTTTCTTTTACTTTCACTTTCAATATTAATGGTAAACAGGACAAATAGTTGTGTGAATCTCCCTAACAGGGACACAGACAGCAATAAAAACTGCCAGGTGTTCTAATCCATCTCTCCTCTATCCAAAACTAAAAAAAAATGTTTTGCATTTAGTTATACTTTAAATAATACAAAGCAAGGGGTGTCTCATTTACAATTGTTTGTGTTTGATCCACAAACAGTTTTTCAAATTGTGCTTAAAGTTTGAAAACTTTGCAGCAAACCCAATTGGATACTTGAGGGGGTTAATCTTGTTATTCATTCTTAGCTATTTGTAGGGCTATTAATAAGTAAGCTATTGTCAAACAAAGAGCATGAAGGACCTGGACATTTTAAACAATAAGACAGGATGTCAAACACACTAAACAATTGAATTAGTTTTGATTTACACTTTATTTCCTCCATTCACTATCCAAACCTTTGAAGTGTATATTAACCTCCCTGGCGGTATTCCCGAGTGTAGCTCAGGGTAGAGTTTTGGTACCAAAAGCGGTAACCCCGAGCTACACTCGGGCTGACCATGCGGCGCTGCATAGGGAGTCCCTGCAGCACTTACCTTGTCCTTCGCTCCCGCGATGTGTCCCCTGCAGCATCCCCGGCCATCTCCTCCGGCCGATGCCGGCATCCGGCTTCTGTGTTCCGGTCCCCGTGACGTCGGGATGTACGGGCAGCGGCGGCGGCGGGAAATTTGAAAATTTGAAAAAATGTCATTTTTTTCAAAACACATTTTTCACAGTAAAACATTGCTGTTTCAACCCATTTCACATACATATTGTCCCTAGTGCTTTGTCCTGTGCCCTGCCTACATTTTGTCTGTCTTTCTGCCTGTAAACTTAGAAAAATCCATGGCGTCCAAAAAGTGTCCCTCTAGGTCAAAAGCGGTTTTAGATCAGCTAGAGAACAGCGATAGTAAATCAGAACCACTTGCAGAATTGAGTGATAATGATTCGTGGGGAAATTCGTCATCAGACACTGAAAACGATTTTGCAACTTTGCTCAGCAATGTACTAACTTGGCGCTCTATTTCAAATTTCAGTGTTTTCGGTTTGATTAAATTATTGAATTAAATGTATTATTATTATATTATTATTTTTTATGATTATTTATTAAATTATAATTTATGATTTCGTGTTTCAAATTTTATCATACCCGGGATGTTTAATAGACTCTTGTTCGGACAGATTTCATTGAGTTATTCCTAAAAATTACAGCCTACAATAAAAAAACTACATATTTCCATGCAAAATAATGGTACCGCTTTCAGCACCAAAAATCTGAAATAATCATACCGCCAGGGAGGTTAAGTAAACTAGTATGTGTGCATTAGAACCTTTATAATGCATGGATAGCTATTTGTGATCCTGATGAAGAGACTTATCCTGCCTATTTATCATACTGACCACTTACATTGTGTTGGAAAGTGACGGGAAACCCCACATTTTACAGCTGTTACTGGAGCAGAAAGTGTAGTAAAAATTTCTCCTGCAGACCCTTGTTCTGGTAAGAAATGTATACTGGTAAGAAATTTTTAGAAGCAGATTTTCCTTCACTTTGGGGTGATTTCCTCTCACGTCCTGTTGTGTCTCAGGGATGGGAAGAGAACAGAAACCTGTCCACTTATCCAACATGGCTTTAGATACACTTTAAAAAACATTGTTCTTTTTTTTAGCCCAGATAACAAGATAACTACAGTGTCTGCTGTCACTGATCATACAGTAGTAGATTGTTTAATATGAAACTGCACACAGTAACATTTGACCTACCAGCAGTAAGGATCTTCACTAGCCATTAACTGCCTGTCAATCACAAGACATTCACATCTCTGTTACATATTTCAGATTTATTATACAGTATACAATGCAGTAATGTTGCATGCATCAGATTTTAACAAGTTTACACACACTGAAATATGTGGGTGAAAGGATGAAATAAAAATTGTCATTAACAAACAACTTTTTTTTAACCAACATCACGAGGGCATTGAACTGCTGGTTAATCACTTCTGGCCTACTGATGAACTCAGGAAGAAGGTTAAGATTAATTCCAAGATTACTGGCTGATATCCAAGTACTGTATACAGAGAAGTAAACCTCTTACGTAGTTTTGGTTATGGTTCAATATTATCAGTCAATTTTCTGTTATCAATTTTAAAATATAATGCTTTGAGATTTGCTATGAATTTTAAGTACCTGTCTTGCTGAAGAAACCAGTTTAGCTTCTGTAGCACTCCTTCTCCTCTTGGGGTGATGCAGAATGGCCCTGGAAGTAATGGGGCAGGCTAACATTTCTATTTCTTGTTGGGGTTGGGTGCCAGCAATTTTAGTCTTTTTACTGTCTATTGTTGAAGTCAGATCTAGGCAAGAGGGTTTAGAGATGCAGGATAACCAAAATTAGCACAAAAATAGGAGGGATTCAGGTGGTAGTAGGCATCTTAACAGCAGCCTCTTTTAATTACTAGGACCTTTAGTGGCAACAGGACTAAAATTCTGTGACATTCAGTAAGAAAACAATGACAAGGAACAAATTGCCAAGGATTGGATGTAAAAGTCCTAAATTGGTTGAAAAGCATCAGTTTTTTTAAACTAAAATAAGAAACATGTCATACTGATCTTCTCTGTTTAATGGTTTTGCATATAGCAACCCCTATCCTCTCCTTCTTAGGTCACCTGTTGGCACCCATGGCTCCTCCCCTTCATCTAGTGTCCTCATAGAAAGCTGTTTCCTATGGGGGAACTCGTGAGAGCTCACTCCTGAGCTCTGCTGCCTGTGTCCACAGGCACAGACAGCGGGGCATGGTCCCGACCACAGCTCCCTTGTCACAGAGATTGATTGACAGCTGCTATGGATCCCTGTGAGGAGGGACAGAACAGAGAGTCACTGCTCTAATGCATGGCGCTGAATCATGATGGGGCTCAGGTAAGTATAAGGGGGGGATTCCAGGCACAGAAGGTTTTTTACCTTATTGCATAGAATGTATTTAGGTAAAAAAAACTTAAAGCTTTAGAACCACTTTAAAGCTTATCTCTGAGCACAAAAGCTTTTGCTTTAATATACCCCCTCAATAGCCAAAACTAAAGTAAATCCACTTTGTTTGCTCCAAAGAAGAAGTTTGACACTGTGTTACTGTACAGGTCTGGAAGAAATACACAATGCACACAAAGATTCAAGCATGAATACACATGCCTCTTATGTTTAAACAATATTTTCATACTCCCTCTGCATAGCAAGGCCCACTATACATTTGCAGAGAAAAACATCAGTTTTGGAGTTTTCAGAAAAGAACAAGAACATGTAAATAATATAAAGTTTTGCAAACTTGGCCAGAAAAATGTAAATGTACTTTAAGTAACTACAGCATAATTAGCTCACAGACCCATCTCTTAATCCCTTGACGCCGGCCTAACACAAATATGCGGCCTCACGGAACTGGGCTTTTTTCCATGGGGCCGCATATTTGGGTACCTGTCTTTGTGCTGGGAGCGCATTGCACAGTGTGCTCCCAGCACAAGGACCGCGGTGTTACTGAGAGCCCCGGGTCCTGTTCTAATGATCAGGACCTGGGACTCCCGATTCCGGGTCACATGATCGCTTTGATAGCCTCTGATTGGCTATCACAGTGATCAGTCACTGTACAGCCCGGTCCCCTTGTTTTTTTCTCTCTATGAATGGAGAAGAGAGATACATTTTTCTTAGTTGTTATAAAATTTTGTAAATAAGTGATTTTTCTCCTTCACTGATGTGCGATAATGAGGCTGCAGTGATGGGCACTGATAGGCTGCACTGATGGACACTGATAGGTGGCACTGATGAGGAGGCACTGGTAGGTGGCACTAATGGACATTGACAGGCATCACCAGGGGAGGACTGACAACTCATGGGGCCCCCGTGTCCTTGCCCAATCTCAAAAAAGCCTATGAAAAAGGTACCAGGGGCATCTCATAGGGCCCCCTACCGACCCCAGGCCCTCGGGCAGTGCCCAAGTTTCCAAATGGTCAGTCCGCCCCTGGGCATCACTGAAAAGCAGCACTCATATATGACACTGATAGGCGGCACTGACAGGCACTGATAGGCCGCACTGACTGGCACTGTTAGGTGGCACTGATAGGCAGCACTGACAGGCACTGATAGGCAGCACTGATGCGCACTGATAGGCGGCACTGACTGGCCCTGATAGGTGGCATTGATTGGCAGCACTGATACGTGGCACTGACTGGCATTGATAGGTGGCAATGACTGGCACTGATAGGTGACACTGAAAGGTAGCTCAGATGGGCACTGATATGTGGCGTTGATGTTCACTGGTAGGCACTGATATGTGGCATTGATGAGGCACTGATGGGCACTGGCAGGTGGCATTAATGAGCACTGACAGCTGGCATTGATGAACACTGACAGGTGGCACTGCTGGGGCTACAGTGATCATCAGGGCACACTGATCATCAGTGCTCTGATGATCAGTGTAGATGACCCCTCTGAGGAATGCCAGCTCTTCGGCTCTCCTCTCCTCACAAGCTGTCAGCGTGACAGCTCGTGAGGAGAGAAATGCAGATAACGGGCATTTCTCTATTTACATGTGATCAGCTGTGATTGGACACAGCTGATCACATGACCGAGCCGACATCGTCAGCTCTTACTGTTGATCGGTGATTTACTGTGTGTGAGGGACACAGCGCACCACTGATCACCGTGCCCCAGAGTCGCGCACGTGCGGTTAGTGAGGGAGGACGTCATATGACGTCGTCCCAGAACGAGAGAACAGCTTTGCGGACGTCATTTCCTTATATGGCGGGCTGGGTGGAGGTTAAATTCTTTGGTGAACAAAAATCACTGAAAGATATCCTGGGGTTCCAGCAATATCTGTAAAGAATATCTCAGATCAAAGACAAAGTAAATATGTCATTTCAATATACCTTCACTTTGTCTCAGGTTCCACAGCACTTTACATATTGTACATTCACATTAGTACCTACATCCCAGTGCCCTTTATCTTGTGCTTAGGTGTTCCTGCCTTAGCTGCTTTTACATGTGTGTACATACATTTAGTTGCATCTAGAGTTTCTAATCAGATCCTGGACACACAGAATTCCTTTTTCCAAAACTGCTAAACTGACTTCACCTAAATGCAGGTAAATGCCAAGTGTGAAAGGTACCACTGAAAAATCATTGCATGCATCTGTTTGCATTTAGAAATGTCCTCTAAATGCAATTGTATAGTGTCAGCGTGAATGAGGCGTAAATATGTGGACATGTACACAGACACATGCCTTTTCTTTTATTAAAAGTCTAGAAATAATCTTGTAATACACTCATCCCAGATCAAGGATGCGGTCATTTACTGTGTAGCAAACAGAGGAAATTTCTTTCAGGGCATCTCTAATTACGTCACATTTGTTAAATTATTTTTTCCCTTAGCTATTACAAAGTAAAACTGTAAACCATTTCATAATTATCCCGGCAAACAGATCTTTGAAGGATGACTGTAAGCACTCCAGAGCAGAAATATGAAAGTACTCTTACTTTAAAAACTTTGGTATGTATAATTTATTGCCTGTCTGCTACATCTAAGTAAATTAATGCTTCAAGAAAAGCCTTTTCATTCATATCCACAGTAGATGTTGTGCATTTAAATTATTTACTATCTTCCAAAATTCATTAGACAACTCACACATAAAGCAGACATTCCATACACAGTTAAATAATACATCAAATGGAAAAACTTTGGAAGGCTACGTTGCTATTTTAAAACAAAATGAGAAATTTTTGTGGATGCTGCTAGTATTTCAAGGCAAGGGCTCAAAGTTGTTAACCTGTGGTTAAGACATTCTCCAAATTATAGTCCTCACATTAAAATGTTAACCATCACTTAGTCTGCATTGATCTAAATCCGTCATACCTAATGCTGGATACATACTACCCATCTTTTTCTAGCAATTCAGGCTTCACTAGTAGAAGCAGTGGTGTAGTGATGTAGATATGAGCCCCAGTGTGGTCTACACCATGGCTATATAGGGAAGATGAAAGCTACAGGTATAGAGTACCGTGAATAAATGCACTGTCTGTGCTTGGTTAAGTGCATCTGGATATTGTGAGTGGAGAGAAAAAAACCCATCAGGGGTTTGTGCAGCAGAGGCGCCCATGGTAGTATGGAGTGATGGTCATGGAAGGACCCACACAGATATGTGATACTGTATGTTACTGTGCAACCAGTAGGCACTGAATTTCTGTGAAACACCACAAAAACTGATAGAGTGGCATAGCAGTCACGACACGCATCTTTGGTGTTACCAACAAATGTCTATTCATTACTCTTAATAACTTCAACCCTTCCATGACCCCCCTTCCACTCTACCAAGGGCTTATAGTTAGAATTTATCAAAGCCATGCCTCCAACATGTTTCACTTCACCCTGGGGTTTAATTATGGAGGCCGGGTTGAAACATGCTGATCAATGTTCTTCTGATGTTTCCACGGAGGTGTCATTTTATCTATTAATTGAAGGTATTGGGTAGTTTTTGGATGCAGAGTGCTCTCTGCAACACTCCCTTACTTGCACTTTCATTATGGTCCTCACCATTTCATACCAATAAAGAGTTTTTTAACGTCTTTAAGGGTCACCCCTGGCATGCCAAGAAAGTGTTTTCTCATCCTTGTAGCATTTAGAAAACAATATTTCCTCTCACATATTTGCAAATTGAAGCTTTGCTCTTAACAGAAAATCGGACATGTGGAAATGTTTCTAACTCTCTAGATGTTGGTCTCATTATTTACTGAAGAGGACGAAAAAGATAAAAAAAACTATTTACTGACGCAGACTACAGGTAAACACTATGCTGTTATGGTAGAGAACTTTAATTTGGAATCATTTTAAAGGTTAATAAAATGATAAACTAATTTGTTAACAAATTCTCCATCTTACCTGTCAATTAAGGGCCCGAGAGGACAGAAACATCATATACTGTATCCCAGCAATCACCCTAATCTCAGAAGTGGAGGTACAAGATGGTCGCTCACAAGCAAACTAACCTGGTGCCTTTTTCCTCTGCAGGCTCCCTAGTGTCATAATGCATATTCTCTCTGGTTTGCAAACTGCATTGAGAAATTAGAGAGTTACTTAAAATTGTATTCCCAGAATTTGCTTGTCTTCTTCTGAGAGAACTTGCAATAAATTAGGTTTTACATAAAAGTTCTCAGAAATTCTTTCATTAGGGTTATATTTAGAGATGAGCCGAAAGTATTCCAAAAATTCGATTCGACTTGATTCGGCGAATATCATGGGAAAAATTTCGATTCGAGTCGTAATATAATTCGCTGTGAATTTAACTTAAAAAAGGGTGTTTCTAGGCATCAGAGAGACTTAATATTAGTGCTGAACACTGTAGTACTTTAATTTAAATGCCCATTGGAGTCTGCTGGGTGAAGAGAAATAATACTGTCAGGCAGTATGACATGCAGATATGAGTGCCGTCGATCTTAGAATATCACCGCACACATTCACACATTTGGGCACTCATTTTTTTTTTTTTATGGGCAGTCACGGGAGCCCAAAACCAGAGTGTGGAGCCACAGTTTGGCGAGTCGAGGCAGCAGCGCAATGGGAGGCCATACAGCACCCTATGACAAAAATTGGAAACCACCAGCAGTGTGAGGAGACCTGAAAGTGGCACATGGCAGAGTGTGGCGATAGAGACAGCAGCAATGGAGGCCGTACCAGGTACCCATGACACACTCTGGACCTCAGTGAGCAGCAGCATGAGGAGGCGGTACAGGGCCGCATGGCAGATTACGGGGCCTGGCAGCAGCATGAGGAGTTCGGTACGGGGGCCCATGGCAGATTACGGGCCTGGCAGCAGCAATGGGAGGCCGTACAGGGACCCCATGACACAATCTGGACCTGGCAGCAGCATGGGGAGGCGGGTAGACAGGGGCCCATGACAGATTACGGGCCTGAGCAGCAGCATTTGGAGTCGTACGGGGGCCCATGACACACTCTGGACCTGGCAGCCAGCATGAGGAGTGCGGTACAGGGGCGCATGACAGATTACGAGTCCTGGCAGCAGCAACTAGGACAGGAGGACGTTCAGTTTCTGCAAAAACCCGTCTGGTGCGCAGTGCTCTCGCAACACTGTTGTCTCTTGGAAACGGATTCCAAGAAAGACTGCTGACGGAAGTCCGTGAATAGTGGTAAGCAGGAGAAGGAGCAATCTGAACGAGCGGAATATGCCAACAAGCGACAACAGGGGCCCATGACAGATTACGGGCCTGAGCATGTCAGCATGAGGAGGGAATCGATGTGGTAGCGGGGTCCCATGGCAGATTAGGGGGCCTGGCAGCCCCCCCGAGCTGCTGAATGGTAGCCCGTAATCTGCCAGCACCCTAATGACAAAAAATGTAACTCCACCAGCAGTGTTGAGTAGTACCTGAGAAGTGGCACATGCAGAGTGTGGCGATGGGAAGACAGCTGCAATGGGGGTAGGAGAGTGGGCCCGTACATCGGAAGCCCCATGAGAGACTCAGTGACCTATGCGCAGCAGCAATAAGTAGGCGGTATAAGGGGCCCATGGCCGGATTAGTGTGCCAGGCAGCAGCTATGGGAGTGCCCTTTAATCTGCCACAGCACTTATGGACAAAAAATGGAATACACCACAGTGTGTAGGAGACCTGAAAGTGCCACATGGCAGAGTTGTAGGCGATGGCGACAAGCCGCAATGGGAAGGCCGTACAGGGACCCATGAGAGACTCAGGACTGTTGGCAGCAGCATGAAGCGAGCGGTAATAGGGGCCCATGGCAGATTAAGGGGCCTGGCAGCAAGCTATGGGAGGCCCGTAATCTGCCAGCACCCTATGACAAAAAAATGGAACACACACAGCAGAGGTGGAGGAGAGCCTGAAAACAGTGGCAACATAACTGTTTGGGCATGAATGCATCGGCGAGATTTTTAGTCGAGTTGTGGACAGGAACTGGTGGTTCTGAAATCCAGACTAAACCACTGCCCTGATTCAAGTTTCACAAAACGGACAAGTCCTCTCCACACTTTTGGCGGTGGACAGTGCGTAGTCCCTCGCGCGGAGTATGCAATAATACGTTCTCCTGCCTGCACTAAACACGCCTCTCCGTATGCCATGCAAACTAACAGTCCTGGCATGACATGCCTTTCAAGGGCAAATTCAGCTAGTTGGGGCCAAAGGGTCAAGTTTCGTTGAACCAGTAGTTCAAGTGTAGGACTTGTCTACCTCAGGTTGATCAGGGGTGCTGTCCAAGTAGGCCTTAATCCTGTAGATTTGAAGGTCCTAAGCTCCAGTCCACCTGGAGTTGCCTAGCTGCTGCTCGCTCCTGCAGTTAGCTCTGGCTGGCTGCAGCAGCTCGCGGTGCTGGTTTAGATAGATTTTTTTTCCTCACTGTCGCTGGTGTAAGGAAAGACTACTCATCATCGACCTGCAGGACTGAGAGGCAGCCCCTGCTGGTGGAGGCTAGCCACTGCTCCTACCATTAACCGGCCACCCCACCCCTGGCTTCCAATGGCCAGCGGTAACGCGAAGCGCAACATGGCCCACCAAGTGTCTGAGGATAAGACGTTGGCGCAAGACAGTCAGAGAACCAGCATGAACTACATAGGTGGATTTATATAATAGGTACGTTATTTGGGCCTCCCTCTCAAAGCAGGTGTGAAAAAGGCCCACCATTTTTGAACGGTAAGCGAGAGGTTCCAACAAAGCTGGAAACAGCCAAAAGTCATTCCCTCTAGTCCCTGATGTATATTATTCGGACTGTCCGCTACGCAAGACAACCGATTGCGATGCTAAGTGGCCAATTTGTGCCAAGGAATGCCGAGGGACTTCCCTCTGCCTCCATTCTCCACAGCATACTGCCACGGATGCGTCTGGGTCCTCCTCTTCTCCTCCTCCTCCTCCACTCCGAGAAGCTTACCTGCAGCCCTCCACTCCTGTCCCGCTGATGGAAAAACCACCCCTATCACTCAATAAAGACCTGAGTCACCAATGTCCTCCTCTACCTCCTCCTCTTCTTTCCTTCCCCTCCCCCCCACAGGGGCCCTTTGGCTTTGAATCTGGGCGCCACGTCTACCCCCACCCCCTGACCACCATTGTTAAAAAGCATTTTTTTCCGGGACTTGCAACAGGGGGAAGACGTGGTTCATCCCATATTTCCTGCCGACCACGAAAAGCGGGGCCTCCTAAAAGGGCCTGAGCAAGCCAGGTGCCTGCATGAGCTCCCAAATGGCTGAAAAATTAAAGTTCAAAGGGAGAAAACCTTTACCCGTTTTAACATCAGGAAATGGGTGTTTGGTTTTCGCTTTTTCTTTAAAGGCGGCAAAAATATGTTTTTTTTAAATTTTTCCACCTTGTTGCAACGTCACAGAGAGGAGTCAAAAACGGGGGGCCCCTTTGGCAGTTTTCTTTCATGGCAGCAGAAAATTTGGGGGGCCCTTTTAATTTTCCAGCCCCCAAAATTGTCAAAAAATTCCACACCACGTGTGAGGGACCTAAAAGTGGCAAAAGGCAGGTTGGCTATGGAAAACAGCAGAAAAAGGGGGGGCCTTTACAGGGACCCGTGACCCCACTCGGACTTGGCAGCGCATAGGAGGGGGGGGGTATAGGGGCCCATGGAAAATTTAGGGGCCTGGCAGACCCAATGGGGAGGCCCGAATCTGCCAGCCCCTATGCAAAAAATTCAACACACCAGCAGTTGGGGAGGAGACCTGAAAAGTGGACTGGCATGGAGACGGGGGACCTGGCAGCAGCATGAAGAGGCGGTATGGGGGCCCTTTGCAATTGGGGGCCCCTGGAAAGCGGGCTATGGGGCCCCCGTAATCTGCCAGCACCCTATGTCAAAAATTGAACACACCAGCAGGTGTAGGAACCTAAAAAGGGGGCACATGGCTAGTTTTGGCAAATGGGGGGAACAGCGATGGGGGGAGGCCTTTACGGGGAAACCCCAAGAGAGACTTGGCCCTTGGAAGCAGCATGAGGGTGGGGGATATAGGGGCCCAAAGGCAATTGGGGGCCTTTGGCACAGCTATGGGAGGCCCTTAATCTTCCCCAGCACCCTTTTCCCAAAAATTTTTCCCTACACACCAAAAGTGGAGGAGACCTGAAAGGGGGCCCCATGGCAGAGTGGGGCAAAGGAGACAGCACCCTTTGGGAGGCCCTTTACAGGGACCCATGACAACTGGGGAACCTGGCAGCAGCAGGGGGGCCCGGTATATAGGGGCCTATGGCAATTAGGGCCGGGCAGCGGGTATGGGGGGCCCGTAACTGCCAGCACCCTAATGTCAAAAAATTTTAAAAACCCCAGCAGTGGTTAGGAGCCCTGAAAGTGGCACAGGCAGATTTTTTGGGGGCGAGGGGAGACAGGCAGCAAGGGGAAGGCCAATACAGGGACCCATGAAAAGACTCGGGACTGGCACAGCATGAGGGGCGGTATTTAGGGGCCTAGGGGAGTTTAGGGGCCTGGAGCAGCAATAGGGGGCCTGTAATCTGCCAGCACCCAAAGCCCAAAAAATTTTCAACACCCCCACAGGGGGTGAGGAACCTGAAAGTGGCACATGGCAAAAGGGTGGCGATGGAACAGCAGCAATGGGGGGCCGTACAGGGACCCATGAAGACCGGGACCTGGCAGCAGCATGAGGGGGGTAAATAGGGGCCTATGGCAGTTTAAGGGGCCGGGAAAGCAGTTTTATAGGGGGGCCCCGTAATCTCCCAGCCCCCCTTATTTTAAAAAAATTCAAAACACACCAGCAGTGTGGGGGAAACCAAAAAAGGGGCCCCTGGGGGTTTTGTGGAGCTGGGGGACAGAAAAAGGAAATTGGGGCCTTTCCGGGGGCCCCCTAAACAGACTCGGGGACCTGGCAGCAGCATGAGGAGGCGGAAAAATGGGGGCCTTTTTCCAATTTAAGGGGCCTGGGAGCACCCAATGGGGGCCCTAATTGCCAGCACCCTATGAAAAAAAAATTTTCAACACACCAGAAAGGTGTGGGGACCCTAAAAGGGGCCCAAAAGGCAGGTGTGGCGATGGAGACAGCAAAAAAGGGAGGCCCGTACAGGGACCCATAAACCTGGACCGGGGCACCAGCATGAGGAGGGGGTATATAGGGGCCAGGCAGTTTAAGGGGCCGGGGGCCGGCACCCTATTGGGAGGCCCGTAATCTCCCAAAGCACCCTATGTAAAAAAATTTCTACAACCAGCAGTGTGTGAGGAACCGGGAAAGGGGCACATGGCAGAGTTTTGGCGATGGAGACAGCACAAGGGGAGGCCGTACAGGGCCCCAAAGGAGACTTCGGCCCTGGGAAAGGAAGTGGGGAAAGGCGGTTTATGGGGGCCCTATGGCAGAATTAGGGGCCTGGCAGCAGCTATAGGGGGCCCGTAATCCCCCAGCCCCCTTTATGTAAAAAAAATTCTCCCTCCACCCAGTGTGGGGAACCCAAAATGAAAGTGGCAAAAGGCCAGATTTTGGGGCCCCAAATGGGCCAGCAGAAAAGGGGGGCCCCGAACAGGGACCCAGGGACAGACTCTGGACCTAGCAGCAGCATGAGGGAGGCGGTATATAGGGGCTCTAAGGCAATTAGGCGCTGGCATCAGCAATGGGAGGCACCCGTTAATCTGCCAGCACCCTATGTCAAAAAAATTCTACAACACCATCATTGAGTGTAGAGACCTGAAAGTGGCCACATGCAGAGTTAGGCAGATGGAGACAGCATCAATGTGAGGCTGAGTACAGTGGCTACCCATGAGAGACTCTGGACCTGGCCAGGCAAGCATGAGTGACTAGGCGTATATAGGGGCCTATGGCAGATTAGGGGCCTGGCACAGCTATGGGAGGCCCGTAATCTGCCAGCACCCTATGTCAAAAAATTCTACACACCAGCAGTGTGTGAGGCAGACCGTGAAAGTGGCACATGGCAGAGTGTGGCGATGGAGACAGGCGAGGCAATGGGAGGGCGTACCGAGACCTATGAGGAGACTTGGACTGGGCAGCATGCATGAGGTTGCGAGTATATAGGGGCCTTATGGCAGATTAGGGCATGGCAGCAGCTATAGGAGGCCGAATCTGCCAGCACCCTATGTCCCAAAAATTCTAACACCTGAAGTGTGAGGAGACCTGAAAAGTGGCACTTGGCAGCAGTGTGGCGATGGAGGACAGCAGCAAATGGGAGGCCGTACAGGGGGACCCATGACCGACTCTGGACTGGCAGCAGCATGTGGAGGCTTGGTAATTATGGGGCTATGGTGATTAGGGGCCTGCGCAGCAGCAAGTAGGCAGGCCCGTATAATTGCCAGCACCCTATGACAAAAAAATTCATACACACAGCAGTGTGTGCGGAGAATCTGAAAGTGGCAATTGGCAGAGTTGGCGATGGAGACCAGCAGCATTGGGAGCTGTACAGGGACCCTATGAGAGACTCGGATGGCAGCAGCAGAGGAGGCGGTGTATAGGGCTATGGGCAGATTAGGGGCCTGGCAGCAGCTATGGGTGGCAGTAATCTGCCACGCACCCTATGTCAAAAAATTCTACACACCAGCAGTGCGTGAGGAGGGACCTGTAGTGGCACATGGGAGAGTGTGGCGTTGGAGGACAGCAGCAATGGGAGGGCCGTACTGGACATGAGAGACTCAGGACTTGGCAGCAGCATGGAGGAGGTGATCTAGGGGCCCATGGCGTTTAGGGGCCTGGCAGCAGCTATAGGTGGCACATAATCTGCCAGCCAGATGTCTAAAAATTCTACACCCATCAGTGTTTGAGGAGACCATGAAAGTGGCACATGGCGAGGTGTGGCGATGGAGGCTCAGCAGCTTAATGGGAGCGTACAGGGACCCATGAGAGACTCTGGACCTGGCGCAGCATGAGGAGGCGGTATATAGGGGCCTATGGCAGATTGGGTCCTGGCAGCAGTATGGGTGGCCCGTAATCTGCATTGCACCCATATGTCAATCAATTCTACACACCAGAGTCCTGAGAGAGAGAACCTGAAAGTGGCACATTATTGTGTGGCAATGATTCATGGCTGATATTAGTCAGTAGCTGTCACGGAACTGGTGGTTGAAATCCAGACTAATCCACGCCTGATTCATTTTACACAAACGTGAGTCTCTCCACACTTTGGGTGGACAGTCGTGTCCTCCGCGGAGTTACCAATACCATCCAGGCCGACACTCAAACACTCGCATACCGATGCCACGCTACAGGCCGGGCATGACAGCCTTTCAAGGGCAAATTGCAGCAAGTTGGGGCCCACAGGTGTCCTAAGTTTTCCGTTGAACCAGTAATCAAGTGGGATAGTCTTAACCTCCGGATTGGCAGGGTGCTGTCGCAAGTATGCCCAAGGCCTGTTGATTTGAGGACCTTGCACCAGGTACCACCTGATGCTGCATATCAGCTGGCAGTCTGTGCTGCTATGGTGTAGTAAGAATTCCTACACTCGAGCGCTGGTGAAAGAAGAGCTATTCATCCAACGACTGAGCAGGACTGATGCATCCGCTGGCTGGTGGAGCTGCCACACCCGCTCCTACCACCCCACCCTCTCCCCCTGCTACCATGTCAGCGTAAACGTCGTAGCGCAACAGGGCCACACCGACTAAACCCCCACCCCACAGTGTCTGAGGAGTAAGGAGTTGGCGCACAAAAGGCAGAGACAAAGCTGACTACATAGGTGGTTTTTATAGTACCGTTATTTTGGCCTCCCTCTCAGCAGAGTGTGATAAAAGGCCACCAATTTGGGGGAACGGTAGCGAGGGTCCCCAACAAGGTGGAAAGACAAACAGTCATCCCTCTGTCTGATGGTTATTATATCGGCTGTCGCTACTAGCGAAGCAAGCAACCTGAGCATTGCTATGAGCCATTTGTGCCAAGGAATGCGAGAGACTCTCCTGCCACCATCTCCACAGCATACAGCCAAAGGTGCGACAGTGTCCGACTGTCCTCCTCCTCCTCCTCCTACTAGTCCAGATGCTCCTCGCTCCATCCACTCCTGTCGCGTTTGAGTGGAAAAAACCACCCATATTCACTCAATAAATTCCTTGAGCACAAATGTCCTCCTCTACCACCTCCTCTTCTTCCTGTCACTGCCCCCCCAGGGTCATGTGGCGTAGTATGAATCTTGTGCGCCACGGCTAACCTGCATTAGGACCCTTGACCAGCCTTGTGTAAACGAGCATTTGTTCATTGACGTGCAACGAGAGAGAATGACGTCGTTCATACCTCATATGTTCCTGCCGACTCACGAATAGCTTGGCCTCCTCAAGAGGGCCTGCAAGCAAGCGGCAGGTGTCACGCATGAGCTGCCAACTGGCTGACATCGAAAGTTATAACAGGTGTGAGTTACCTTTAATCCGGCATTGTAACATCATGAAATCGGTGATGGCCTTTCGCTGCTCGTAAAAGGCGGTCTAACATGGGTAGGGTTGACTTCCACCTTGAATTGCACAAGAACGTCGCAGATCAGGCGATTGAAGTGGAAAATTCCGTTCTGGTTCTGCCGCTGCAGCCAATCGAGGGTGTGCTTTGCGGTGTAGGAATGGGCTGAAATGCATGCCCAATTATCTCACGTGACATTATCCTAAAGGTATGACTTGCAGTAGTATGGTGGATTTTAGGAACCGCTTGACAACCCTATTGAACACGTGAGCCATTGAGCATGGCGCATGGCACAACCTTGCCTTGACGCAGAAGCAGACAACCATGTTCTATCCGTTGTTCGGTCAACATGGTTTCCGATTTTCAAGTTTGCGCGGAGACAGCCTTCTGTCGATTTCTTCTGTTCATTACACT